CTGACACCGAGAAACACTAGAAGGCCTACTGGATTTTTTTTTTCGGGGAAAAGATGTCATTTCCAAAATGTAAAAAATACTGCCGCATTTTAGAATGCAATGCGATGTCATTTTTTTTTCATTGCAGGATTGCAGGCGTGTAATCTGTTACCGATACCAATTTTGCATCGCCATTTCACAGTCTGGTCACTGGTAAATGTGTGCATGGCATCGGTTCTCCAGCAGGTGCCTTTAGTGTGTCAAGTAACTACGGCACGGTGCACTGTGGTCAAGTACTATCACTAAACTATGATGTCAAATAAAGATAGAACCGTTGTCTTGACATTTATACTCTTTCAACCGCCCCTTACGATCAAAGGAAATATCATGTCACCCCGACCTGACCTTGCCGTTCTTATCATTTAAGCTTACAACCGGATTTCGGATACTGTTAATGGTTGACGTTCTCCACCCCCCCCCAAAAAAAAAAAAAAAAAAAAAAAAAACATAAAAAAAAAAAAAAAAAAAAAAAAAAAAACATTAAAAAATTAAAATAAATAAATAATTAAATAAATAAATAATATAAAATAACTAAACATTTATACAAATAATAAAATATCGATAATTAAAATAACATCCCTATAGCCTTGCACGAACTGACTCCCCAAGCACAAGATTAACAAGACGTGATGCCCACCTTAGACCAGTGGTTCTCAACATCCTTAATGCCACAACTTATTGATACAGTTCCTCATGTTGTGGTGACCCCCAACCATAAAATTAATCTCGCCGCTACTGTTTCCGATGGTCTTAGGCGACCCCTATGTAAGGGTCGTTCGATCCCAAATTGGGTCGTCCATTAATTGCGTCAATAAAATGGGGAGGTGGGGTTGGAAATGTTTGACAATTGTTGACAAGTGGAAGGGGAGTTAGATTAGTTGACGTCAACAAACATGTTTTCTCTATTGAAATTTTTATCTTAAAAATTGACTGGTTATTAAATTATTTTGACAAATTTAATGAGTGTAAGTTAAAATAGTCATATGATTTTTAGTTCTATAAAATTTTAACTTGTTGATTAACGAGCTAAAGATGCAATAAAAATGTTTTTTCCTACAATTTTTTGTTATAAATAGATCAGCCCAATGTAAATGTATTTATATTTGTATTTATATTTTAATTAATTTTAGAGGGGGGGGGGTATAGATATGTTGACATAATTACTTAGGGGAGTCATTGAAAGTTTGACAGTTGTTGACAGGGGGCGCCAAAATTTGTTTAAAAATTGTTGACGCAATTAATGGACGCCCCAAGGGGGTCGCGAAACACAGGTTGAGAACGCTGCCATAGACTTCCGATTAAACACTGTGACTGATAGTTATGATAATCACGGAGTGAAAACGTGATATTTGTCAGATATCAAAAACTCTATTGCCGTACTATTGTACGGTACATGCCATTAATGTAGCATTTGCATAATATGTATATTGATAGCCCCGTCTGGTATAAATATGGTATAGATGTTTGCTCTCTGCACGGGCGTAATAAAAAAAAAAACAACATCTGTTGCATCTCAGATCTGCTGATGGAGATGAAGAGAACACGGGGAGGACTGCCTTCAGGTTGAAGCAATCTATACTCATTGCGGACTGCTTTCAGGTTGAAGCTATCTGTACTGATAGCAGACTGCGTTCTGTTGAAGCAATCTATACTGATAGTGGTCTGAGATCTGTTGAAGCAAGCTATACTGATAGTGGACTGAGATCTGTTGAAGCAAGCTATACTGATAGTGGACTGAGATCTGTTGAAGCAAGCTATACTGATCTATAACTAAAGTTCAGGGGCGTGATAAAATGTGTGGTTGTGAGCCTGGTTTGGGGGGGGGGGCATTTATAGGGATTCTTAAAGTGCATAGTGCATTTTTACGAAAAAAAAAGAAAAACTTTGTTTCTTAGGGGTTGTTTAATTTAGTCATATGAAGAATTTCGATTTTGAAGAAATTATTGAAATTTTTTAATATTTGAAGACTAGGAAAGTGACGTTTTTTTTCGATAGAATTTAATGTTTCAATAAAAAGTTCATTTTGGTGCATTGTTTAAATGCTTTCAACATTAAATTTTATAATTTTCTTCTAATTCGTGTCTGTTTATTGCCTTATGACTTAATTGACAACAAACGGGACTTTAAGCGATTCTGTGTGATCTGGTTAATGTCTGGTGCATGTGCAGGGGGGGGGGGGGAGCCGGGCCGGCTCAAGGCGCGGCCACTATGGCCGTTGCCCGGTGCACCCCGTGCTTGGGACGCTATCAACGGTCTCCAAAATTTTAAACCTTATTCAAACGGGACTTTAAGCGATTCTGTGTGATCTGGTTAATGTCTGGTGCATGTGCAGGGGGGGGGGGAGCCGGGCCGGCTCAAGGCGCGGCCACTATGGCAGTTGCCCGGTGCACCACGTGCTTAGGACGCTATCAACGATCTCCAAAATTTTAAAACTTATTGCAAGTAGGCGCCATGGAAGAAACTTAATTTTAGTGCAAAATTGTCGCATGCCATTGAACATAAATCGTATGATCGTGCACACGGGAAGTGGCGGCAAACGTGGCTGCTGACGTCCTTTCAGGTGCATCGAGTTTTTCTCTCTTCGCCACGGCGTCCATTTCTCGTGACAGCGAATTCGATTTTGCGGAGCCCAGGGTGGTAGGGCTGTCAGTGTATTGCTTATCGGTACCGGTAGACCTTTTTTTTCGGCGACTTTTGTCGTTCGGCGGTGGCGGCGATAATCGTTTGTAAACCCGTCGCTGAGGAGGCGGCGACTACGAATTTGCCGCTCACCGTAGTTTGGAATCGAATTTTGAGCTGTGCCGAACAGGTGCGAATAAACTCGGTGCGCTCCCTGGATTTTCGAAGTTAAGTTTAATTTTTTTTTTTTTTTAAAGCATATAAAATAATTTAAGAAAGTAAACTGCTAATAATCGTGATTTGTGTAAGTCATTGAATTGTTCTCTATTATTAATTTAGGCATTTATTCACTGCGTATACGTAAATCAAAATCGTACATTCAGTTGAGATTTGCTGAATGTGTCAAAGTGATTAAATATGAAATGATGACGAGGCTGAATCGGAGAAGTTGCTAAATTTACTGTTAGGAGCAATAAGGCTTTGGCTATCATTGTGTTGGCGTTGGACACTTCACTATTGTATTTAATCGGCAATCCAGTTGAACCCAAGATTGTCTGGGAAAAACTGAGGGATCATTTTCAAAAGAAGACATGGGCTAACAGACTGGCGCTGAGAAGGAGATTACTTACAATTAGAATGAATGATGGGGACTCTGTGCATGAGCACATTAAAACTCTTACAGAGATTTTCAACGAGCTTGCAGTAGTAGGAGATGCCATTGATTAGCTACAGAACTGGATGTAGAGCCAATTTTTTAGAAATAAAAGAAGAGGTGAAATATGCTGTCTGAATATGAGTGTACTGACGAGATTCCAAATGTGGATGACTCAGAATTTTAAAAAAAAATCATGTGATCATTGTAATACTGGACAGAGCTATAAATTCTTTACCAGAGAGATTTGGACAATTGCAAAGTTTCCATAACACACAGTCTTCAAGAACAAAGATAGGCTCAAATCAGCCTGTCAAGATTTGAGAATAGTTTAAGTTTAAGGTATCAAGAAAATAGCGATTTAAATGGATGTGATGTGTTGATTGAACTAGATGTAGCCCAATAATTATTTCCTTATGATTAACTTCCAATAGAAGCCGCTAAAATCATAAACACTAAAATTATGCTACATGCCGAATCGGTGGTTAGCATTGAGAATAATGCTTACAATACCTGTTACTGTAGCCGCTAGCGAGACTAATATGTGTAACTAAAGCTTTAAAAAACACATTTACGATCATCCATGTCTAAAGACAGAATGAATTCTTTGGCAATTTTGTCTATGGAAAATGATAATGATATTGCAAAGAATATAAATATAGAAAGTGCAAATAAAAATATTTGCTGATCTAAAGGCTAGAAAAAAATGTCATCGGTAGGCTAATTGTTTATATTTTCCAAATACAAGATAAGAAAAACAATATTATTGTTATTTTTTTTATTATTTTGTTTTAAGAAAAACAACAACAACAAAAATAGGTAATACACTTGTTACCTAACCCCTAGCTTTTACTTGCAAAAAATTGTATGATTCTATTTAAAAGGCTCGCCAAAGATAAGCTTTCCCGGTGCGCCAGCAACCATAGAGCCGACCATTGAGAGGGAGGGGGTGCCGGAAAATGTGGATTGGGGGTGACGCCATGAGTTTATCGCATTGGGTGACACCAACATTAGTGACGCCTCCTAAGTTGTTTTTTTTTTAAGCCTATAGGCCCTACCTTAATATTGATAGCTCCCACTGAATAATTGTAATATTTGTTAGTGCTATTTATTAAATGAACAATATCATTGAATATGTAATATTTTTATAGCCTACATGAAAATGTAAACATTTACTTTTGCAATTTTTTAAACAAATTATTAATGAAATTGTCGAAAAAAAAGGTCGAACTGCAAAAAAAAAAAATAATAAAAAAAAAATAAATAATAAATAAATAAATCATGGTGTTTAATTATGAAAATAAATGCAAAATAAAATAAATATTTAAATAAGTTTTTTTTTTTTTTTACCTTTAAATTAGGCTAAAAAATATTGATAAGTCAATTACTAATTACAGTCAATGTTTAACTAACACTTTGCCAACTAATCAACCTAAAAAAAAAAGGTAAAAAGCAAAAAAAAAAAAAAATAAAAAAAAAAAAAATAATAAATAAATAAATAATGGTGTTTAATTATGAAAATAAATGCAAAATAAAATAAATATTTAAATAAGTTTTTTTTTTTTTTTACCTGTAAATTAGGCTATAAAATATTGATAAGTCAATTACTAATTACAGTCAATGTGTAACTAAGACTTTGCCAACTAATCAACCATCATCTCATACCCAGTGTATCCATTTTTATGAATAATCCTGGTTGTCGTTCGCCACAACTTGGAAATGTTATGAAGGGGGTCACAGTGCTAAAAAATGTGAGGACCACTGATTTAGTTCCTAGTGGATGGATCTAACGACCCAACAAATCGTAGCTGCTGTCACTCAGCACACTTTCTACTATTTGAAAAAAGTAACATCCGTAAATACTGATGTTCTAGCGTCGGGTCGCGGCTATTGAATATATCATATAATATATCTACTAAAATAATAGTTCAGGCAGTACAGGACAGGTAGAATGAGTAACGAAGCAGTCCTCAGAGAGTACATGAACACACGTACACAGTAAGTTAGTTTTTAGCATAAAATAAATTGGTTAATTGCCTAAAAAATAAATAAGTAAAGTGAATAATAATAAATGATAATAATAAGTTTTTCTCCTACGCCTACACACTACACTGTCAATGACAATGTCTATGATCTGACTGTATACCACTGCACTGTAATATTAATATTAATATGTATTGCTAGTAGTTCACTAAGTTTACAAAGTAAGTTTAGGAAGGTACATGTACAGTACACTTCAGTACAGTAGAGATTTATTAATAATTTATAATTATTTCCTTCTTCAAACACAGTAACAGTACTATAAATCAAAATGTAAAATACATTACTAGACTAACCGTTTTAATTTTTACCTCAGACCTCAGTAATTGAAATTCAGTAATTTTAAGTTAGGCCTAGACCTAGTAGCCAGTTATAACAAATTCAGACAAGAACAATTATAAATTATTTTATTTTTATAAATAATTGCTGAATCAGAAACGGTGTCAGTGATTTTTTAAAAGATGAAAAGGTGGTCATTTACTAAGATATATTATAATAATTGTAAGTGCAATTATTTTATAAAAGAAGGCGTAGGCTACTTGATATTACATTGATAATAGGTGTAATGTATCCAGTGTGAGTTTCAGTATAGGCCTTCTAAAGGCCAGTGGTCAGTGGTAGGCATATCAGGAGCCGCATGCAGCTCTTTAACGACCTGAGTGCGATTCCACCAGTCAGCTTCAAATCGATTTTGACTCCGAAAAACATGGTTCTTGACAGGTTCTTGAAAAGAAATTTTGCTCTCAGAAAATTTTTAATCGCCCTGCTGCTGATTTTTTACTAACGATTTTGCAGACAACTGCTATAGGCTATAGGAGTTTAGCATGTTCTTTAAAAAAAATTCATGAAAGGAATTGCTTAAATTCCTTATTAAATTATTTATTAGACTCTATAGTTAACTTGGCACTGTATCACTCTAAGGCTTTGGTTGACTTGACACTCAACTATTACCACTATTGATGTTGAGAGTTTTAAACTTCATTTAATTTAGAAAGTAGGCTTTTATTAGCGTTAACTTATGATTATAATTAGTCCTATACTATAGCATATGCCTATATAGTCTATAGTTATAAGTTATAAGAATATGCCCAGGCCCAGGCTATAGCAATTAAGGCAGTGTTTCTCAATCAGAAGTTCCTGAGGATGCTGATGTGAGGTGGCATTTTTGCGATTTAGGAAAAGTGTTTTGAAAATAATAACAGAATAGCCATTGACTTTTAATTTTAAGTTATGATATTTATGTAAATTTTAAAAAATGTTAAAAATTTCTTTATTAGGCCTAACAATTTACTTTATCACACTATATTATCAAGTCACAAGTTCAATTTTTAAGTCTTACAGAGCTCTTTGTAATTCAGTCATTTAGAAGTTAGAAGTTTTTGTTTTTTTCATTTTTAAATACATTATTATTAATTATTATTGTAGGGCAGTAGAAGGTGTGTGACTTAGGTAAACAAGAGACTTAGTCAAACATTTCATAGGGGGTATAGAAATTCATTAAAGTTTTGGAAACCTTGAACAAAGGGGACCATAGAATATGTCATCATATCTTTGGCCTAAAGAGGAAGAACTTGGTCTAGTTTCCTGGATATGGGTTAAGTACATTAATTTAAACTAGAACTAGCTTTTGATAAATCCTTAGTCATTAAATATTTTGAACTCACAATTACCAAATTAATATTTAAACATTGCAAAAGGTTAATTTAGCTAATCATAGTCACATATTGCCATTAAATTATTTAACATAAATGACTTTTTAAGTTGATTTCTAGATAAACATCTTGTTCTTACGTAGAGATACCAAAGGTTGAAGATAAGTTAAGTAAAAATGTGATGATTTTAACTATAAATAATGTAAACCTAATTAGTATTTAATTTAACTTTAGAATTTTGATAATGCACAAATTCATGCCCATATCAAAGTTCATAATGATGCATTTTTAATGATCTCTAAGACTAATTGTTCTTTATTTAATGAATAAAATTGAGAGATCCTAGATAGCAGGCTTTTATTTTTTTGCCATCCCTAGTTGGCTTCTGTCTACAGAGGCAAAAGATTAGCTCTTCCATGAGAGCATAAAGGTTGGGAGGGGGGGGGGGTTGTAATTCACCAATAGCTGGTGAGTGACCCTAGACATAATTTGTAGTCAGGAAACAGAACAATTAACTCCCTGGCTGTGGTCACTTACCGAGGAATAAGGGTAATTCAAAGGGCTGCATCACAGGAATTACATTTCACAATTAAAAGGTGGCTGCTTCACAACCAAGAGGTAGTGGGTTAATATTGCTCATGGGGTTCTGAGTTGCTATCAGTTATAGGAAAATAGCTGACTGGATTCTTTTGCCCAGTAAGGTGACAATAGACAAAAATTTAACACATCTCCTCATGAAAAGGAGACCAAGGCTCTAACTCTCAAGTGATATAATTAGTTGGTAATCTTTGGTAAAATATGTACATTTATCACTAGTTGGTTGCCCCATTTTTACTCACAATTGCTAAAAGTTTTTAATTTTTACATGCAGAGTTACTTACGATGATATTGATCTTGTCGCAAAATACATTCTGGAAAAGGTGAAATGTCGTCCAAAGCTGGGTATAATTTGTGGGTCAGGTTTAGGCAAACTAGCCGACTCGGTGGAAAATAAAGAAATCATCCCCTACTCAGAGATTCCAGGTTTCCCAGTTAGCACAGGTTAGTATTCTAATCAAGATTTTTTTAATCCAAAATTTAATTTTAAAAGTTAAATTTTTGTGATAAATTGAACTTAAATTCAACCAAAACCATTTTTTTTTTTTTTGGTGCATTTTTTAAAAGTTAAATTTTTAAAAAATTATTTGCAAATTTAAATTTAAAAAACAAATAAGCAAAAATTTATTTATGCCATTATTTTTCTTTTCTCATCAAATTTGACCATTCACTGTGTTGATTTAAAAAAAAAGTAATTTGAAAAAGATATTTAACACTGTACCATTGAATTATTTTGAACAGTAGTATAGAAAGAACATGTACAGAAATAAAATATGCTTCTAAATGTCAGCTATTACTCAGTGCTCATTGTTTGTATCACTAACTGCCATTTGTTATCTTATGACAGTTCCAGGACATGAAGGGAAACTTGTGTTTGGTACCTTGGGGGGGAAGAATGTCATCCTCATGCAAGGCAGGTCTCATTGCTATGAAGGCTATCCAGCTCAAAAGGTGCTGTGTACATTTCAGATTCCGCTATGTTTATTTACTGAATATCTCAAAGCACTCATGACGCCTTATGTATCCACTAGACAGCTCTGCTCATCCGATAGTCGCAAAATATCGATACCCTGTGTTCGCCTTGAGACTTACGGAAAGCGCACTTTTGCATTTGCCGGCCCAACAATTTGGAACACCCTTCCAGTCGCTCTCAGAAACAGCCTGACACTTGAGTCCTTTAAAACCGATTTAAAAACACATCTATTTCGCAAACACCTTCTGTGGTGATGCTATCTACCATCTTTTTCAGTTAATGTTTATTGGCTTGTGTTGCTTATGGTTTAAATGGGATGAAAGACTTTGATTGGGTATGTTCGTATCTAGCTTTATATTGTTGCGTCTGTTTTAAATGTGTTAAATTTTAGATTGTTTTTATTTCTCTTTTTAATATGGTTGACTTTGTACCACGCTTCGAGCTTTTGGGGATGAAGCATGTTTTTCAAATAAGCTTTATTATTATTATTATTATAAAGAATTACACCTGCATCCAACAAAGTCTCATCCTTAAACTAAAAATGGACCTCAGGCAAAAATGTATGCCTCAAAAGATCTATTAAAATTACATAAATATTTTAATGTTTTTTTTTTGCAAATACACATTCACTACTACTACTACCAAAATTAAAATGATTAATTTTCCACGGACACTAGTTTTAAAAAAATGATCCATCTCCAACCCCATTTCTTAACTTGGACAGCTCCACTGGAAGACATTTGGCTCTGATTTTAAGCCTAATTTTAGAATTTAAAGCCTAAGCAAGTGAAACTCTAGAGCAGGGGTCATCAGCCTCCAGCATGCGTCCCAGACTTGGAACACCGAGTCATTTCAATGGCCAGCGGTAGACCAAAACAACCATTATAAATAAATAAATAAAAACAAAGCCTATTTAATGGGCTTGTAAGTTTTTGGCACCGCTGAATGAATTAGAAATCCTACTTACCACAATATTACCAAAAGGTTGCTGACTCCTGCTCTAGGGCACAACATAACTTTCAAACCTACTAACCCTGCTCTAGGGCACAACATACCTTTCAAACCTATGACTCCTGCTCTAAGGCACAACATACATTTCAAACCTACGACTCCTGCTCTAGGGCACAACATACCTTTCAAACCTATGACTCCTGCTTTAGGGCACAACATACCTTTCAAACCTACTAACCCTGCTCTAGGGCACAACATACCTTTCAAACTTATGACTCCTGCTCTAGGGCACAACATACCTTTCAAACTTATGACTCCTGCTATAGGGCACAACATACCTTTCAAACTTATGACTCCTGCTCTAGGGCACAACATACCTTTCAAACCTACTAACCCTGCTCTAGGGCACAACATACCTTTCAAACCTACTAACCCTGCTGTAGGGAACAACATACCTTTCAAACCTACGACTCCTGCTCTGGGGCACAACATACCTTTCAAACCTAAGACTCCTGCTATAGGGCACACAATACCTTTCCAACCTACTTTGTCATCCCACTTCTTGTTTCATTTATTTCATTCCTTGCTCTGCCCATCATTCTAAGTCAGGGGTCTCCAAACTACGGCCTGCGAGGCCCTCTCAAGCGGCCCGCGGAGACCTTTTGTCTATGGAAAATATTACGGAAATTTACATGTATCCTGCCAAGATCAGACACTGCTTACGTGGACGTTATGTTTTAACCGAATTAAAATAGAGGCACGCAGTAGTGCATTATGTTTTCCAACCGATCATTACTTGGCAAAACCTTATTCGCTGCTTAGTTTTTCTACTTGCGTTCAATGAGATGATATAACGCCATCTAGTGGCAGAGCTTTGCCCGCCGTGTTGCAGACACGGGTGAAAACAATGTGACTCAAATAGCTAAAAATGCAAGCAAGTTTCGCCAATTTTTAATTGCAATGGATGAATCGCTGGACAGCTGTTCCAACTCTCAACTGCTTTTGTTCGTTAGAGGTGTGGATGTAGACATGAACATAACACAAGAGATGGCTTTCCTGCATAGTATGTATGACACTGTTACCGGAGAGGATATATTCAATGAGTTGAAAAAAACATTTGCTGATTATAACTTGGACTGGCCTAACCTCAGCTGCCTGACTGTTGACGGAGGAAATAACATTAGTGGCATAAAGAAAAGCTTGGTTGGACAAGTGAAACAGATGTGAAATGAGAAAAAAATTATTGTACCAATGTTCTTGCACTGTATTATTCAGCAGAAAGCTTTGTGTGCTCAATATGTGGACATTAGCAGCGTACTGAATCCTGTGGTAAAGAGGGCTACTTTAATAAGGTCACAGTGGCTCAACCCTAGACAGTTCAGAGACCTTTTGAAAGATACAGACACAGAATCACAAGATTTACCATATTACACAGCAATAAGATAGATAAGTTTTGAGAAAGCTCTGAACAGAGCATTTAAGTTAATAAAGGAAGCAACAGCGGAGTTCCCCACGTCATTTGCATGCGAGATCATCAAAGACCTCCAGCTGCAATTTCAGCATCGGTTTTCTGACTTGGATTTAAAGGCAGAAGAAGTGAGACTTTTTCAAAACCCATTTGAAGCAGATGTGGCCAGTCGCCCAGATGAACTGCAGCTGGAGGTCATTGAGTTGCAAGCAAATGACCTCCTTAGGGACAAGTTCAAAGAAGGACTGGTGGGTTTTTAACTAGTTTTCGCCCAAGGAAGACTTTCCTAATTTCAAAACTTTTGCATCAATGTACCTTTCAATCTTTGGAACAACATACATGTGTGAACAAATGTTTTCAAGAATGAAATAAGTGAAGAAAAATTTGAAAACCAATTTGTCAGATGATAATCTCAGGTCACTGTTGATGTTAGGGACATCAAATCTAAATCCAGAAATGTCTGCTAATCACTGCTATTTTGGCATCCAGGAAACAATTTCATCATTCCCACTAATACAGGTGTTCATGTGTCGTGTATCAATGTGTTATTAAACAATAACTGAATGAAATAATAATAAATAAATAATTAAAAACAACATCCATGTTATGATTCTTTTTTATTTGGACCTCGAGTGTGTAGTCGGCCTCCGAACTGCTGTTTGATAGTTAATGCGGCCCTCGGGCTGAAAAGTTTGGAGACCACTGTTCTAAGTAATGGCTTGCACTGCTCATAAATTCTAAATAATGGTTGCACTGATCATACATCTAAGTAATGGCTTGCACTGATCATACATTCTAAGTAATGGCTTGCACTGATCATACAATCTAAGTAATGGCTTGCATTGATCATACATCTAAGTAATGGCTTGCACTGATCATACATCTAAGTAATGGCTTGCACTGATCATACATCTAAGTAATGGCTTACACTGATCATATATTCTAAGTAATGGCTTGCACTGATCATACATCTAAGTAATGGCTTGCACTGATCATACAATCTAAGTAATGGCTTGCACTGCTCATAAATTCTAAGTAATGGCTTGCACTGATCATACATTCTAAGTAATGGCTTGCACTGATCAACATTCTAAGTAATGGCTTGCACTGATCATACATTCTAAGTAATGGCTTGCACTGATTGTACATTCTAATGGCTTGCACTGATCATACATTCTAAGTAATGGCTTGAAAATCATAACTTCGTTTTCAGTTTCAGTAAACTTTTATTAATATTTAGCTGCATATATTTACTTTTTTTTCTTCTTTGACTTAGACAACACTGCCTGTACGTGTGATGCATTTAATGGGAGTCAAAACTCTCTTTGTCACCAATGCTGCTGGAGGAATTAACCGAAACTATAACATTGGGGACATAATGATCATCAAAGACCATGTCAACTTGGCTGGATTTGCTGGGGTCAACCCTCTTGTAGGACCCAATGATACCAGGTAGCCTTTTTGTGCTGGCTTTGATGCCTGCAAAAATAGAGAAACTAGATTTTTGTTGCTCAATTTTTTAGTTAAACTTTAAAAAAAAATTTATTTGGAAATTATATCATTTTTAGGTTTGGTCCTCGTTTTCCACCCATGTCCCGTGCATACGATCTTAATATTCGGCAGCTGGCGTTGAGACTGGCAAAGGGTATGGGATTTGGAGACTTTATACGTGAGGGTGTATATTCCATGATGGTTGGACCAAATTTTGAAACTGTGACTGAATGTAGACTCTTACAAATTGTTGGAGTTGATGCAACTGGTAGGTTTTATCTTCTAAGTTCAAGCTTTTGGAATCCACACAATTTGTAACCACCATGTTCTTATGTCTACATCACTGAAATACACTTCCAATTTCTATTTAGGTGTTGCATGCATTGACACATACAAAAATCATAATTGCTAATTCCTATCACATATTTGTCTTGTCTTGCACAAAGATAAGTCTAATCATTTGTAAGTTGAACCAATTATTGGCACATTGATTATTTTACTGCTGCACATTTGACTATTGATTTCCTGTTCACAAGAATGGAAGCGGAAAAAATGTGATTTCAAATAAAACAAATTTTTTTTTAACTTGGGTGAATCAATGATGTTCTTTGTGTCTTGAAACACGGGTCGGGAGGAAAGGTCTTTATTATGTCTTGAAACATGGGTCAGGAGGAAAGGTCTTTATTATGTCTTGAAACTCAGGTCAGGAGGACAGGTCTTTATTATGTCTTGAAACATGGGTCAGGATAGGTCTTTACTATTTCTTGAAACATGAAACATGGGTCAGGAGGACAGGTCTTTATTATGTCTTGAAACTTGGGTCAGGAGGACAGGTCTTTATTATGTCTTGAAACTTGGGTCAGGAGGACAGGTCTTTATTATGTCTTGAAACATGCGTCAGAAGGATAAGTCTTTACTATTTCTTGAAACATGAAACATGGGTCAGGAGGACAGGTCTTTATTATGTCTTGAAACATGGGTCAAAAGGATAGGTCTTTACTATTTCATGAAACATGGGTCAGAAGGATAGGTCTTTACTATTTCATGAAACATGGGTCAGAAGGATAGGTCTTTACTATTTCTTGAAACATGAAACATGGGTCAGAAGGATAGGTCTTTACTATTTCATGAAACATGGGTCAGAAGGATAGGTCTTTACTATTTCTTGAAACATGAAACATGGGTCAGAAGGATAGGTCTTTACTATTTCTTGAAACATGAAACATGAGTCAGAAGGACAGGTCTTTATTATGTCTTAAAATTGGACTTGGATGGTGGATAAAGTAGTCATATAAATATATGATAAACATTACTGGCACATGCTGAAAGATTTACAATCATTCAAGTATGTAATAAATGTATTTCATGTATCTTTAGTGATGAAATGCAAATTGCACTCGTAAAAAAATAAATGATTTATTTCTTTGTTGTGTGATCCCAGGCATGAGCACAGTCCCTGAGGTGTTGGTCGCCAAACATTGTGGAATGACCGTTTTTGGAATGTCACTAATTACAAATATGGTGATCATGGAATATGATGTGGAGAACACTGCCAATCATGAAGAAGTACTGGAGACGGGTGAAAGACGTAGCAAAGATTTGCAGAAACTGGTGACTGCCATTGTGCAAGAACTAGAGCTAAATTGACAAGTTTTAGTTGAATCTATGCACTTCCAGCTCAGAATGGAGTTTCACTCCTGGAGACTGTGTCTTGATACCTTAATTAAATGTAGTGGTTAAACTACGGAATCTACAATTTTTAAACTGTACATTTCATGAACTAATTCAAACCATCTAAAGATATTATTATTAAGTATTTGGATTTATTTGGAAAGAATTTATTCTTGCCTTGATTAATTATTTGGTGTTTTTATTTTATTGTTACAAAAAATCCAGTATTTGAATTTTATTTGCATAAAGTTGTTTTATAGACAGAAGAAAATCACTTATACTTTACAAAATGTTTGTTTCTCAAATCAAAGTTAGTTTATATTTTGTAATAATGTTTCATTTCCATGGAGTGAAGCAAACATAATTTGTTTTTTTAAAATATTTCCCAATAACTCTTCTTTTCAAATGTTAGAAAAGTGGTGCTCCATCAACCTGAATATTATACCATTTCTATATATTGCTATGTGCTTGCAATTTAACAAATGAGAGGAAATGTCTTAGAGTTTTGTTTTATTTCTTATAATCAAGTATGTTTCAATCGTATTTCTTGAAGGAAGAACACTTGTTGAATCATTTACAAAATCTTAGCATTTATGCTGATGAACCTGAATTTTTGTTTCAGAGACGTTATGCATCAAATGTTTGTTCTTTCTTTCATTTCAATTTACTGTCATATTTTTTAAATATTTTTATTGTAGAGCTTGTATTTCAACTTAACGTTTAATATTTTTCATTATAGGAATTTTCTCCGTATAAGAATAAGATGGCTTTGTTGTATTCCTACATTAAGGATCATTTTGTTTTATGCCAAAATGTGTTTCTCTTCCATATACAATAAGAACAATATTTACTCATTTAAAAAAACTATAACTATAATGGTTATGATTTAAGAAAACAATAAATCTATGCAGACTTTCACTAAGGATTAGTGTTTTTTTTAATACTATTGTTGTATTCAATTTATTCATTGCAATTCATTATAAATATTATTTTTTAAGGTGGTCCTGTGTCTCAGTTGAGCAGGCGGGTTTGAATTTTGTGCAAGGTGTCCCTGGCATTGCTGTGTGGGGTGTCCCTGGCATTGCTGTGTGGGGTGTCCCTGGCATTGTTGTGGGGGTGTCCCTGGCATTGTTGTGGGGGTGTCCCTGGCATTGTTGTGGGGGTGTCCCTGGCATTGTTGTGTGGGGTGTCCCTGGCATTGCTGTGTGGGGTGTCCCTGGCATTGCTGTGTGGGGTGTCCCTGGCATTGCTGTGTGGGGTGTCCCTGGCATTGCTGTGTGGGGTGTCCCTGGCATTGCTGTGTGGGGTGTCCCTGGCATTGCTGTGTGGGGTGTCCCTGGCATTGCTGTGTGGGGTGTCCCTGGCATTGCTGTGTGGGGTGTCCCTGGCATTGCTGTGTGGGGTGTCCCTGGCATTGCTGTGTGGGGTGTCCCTGGCATTGCTGTGTGGGGTGTCCCTGGCATTGCTGTGTGGGGTGTCCCTGGCATTGCTGTGTGGGGTGTCCCTGGCATTGCTGTGTGGGGTGTCCCTGGCATTGCTGTGTGGGGTGTCCCTGGCATTGCTGTGTGGGGTGTCCCTGGCATTGCTGTGTGGGGTGTCCCTGGCATTGCTGTGTGGGGTGTCCCTGGCATTGCTGTGTGGGGTGTCCCTGGCATTGCTGTGTGGGGTGTCCCTGGCATTGCTGTGTGGGGTGTCCCTGGCATTGCTGTGTGGGGTGTCCCTGGCATTGCTGTGTGGGGTGTCCCTGGCATTGCTGTGTGGGGTGTCCCTGGCATTGCTGTGTGGGGTGTCCCTGGCATTGCTGTGTGGGGTGTCCCTGGCATTGCTGTGTGGGGTGTCCCTGGCATTGCTGTGTGGGGTGTCCCTGGCATTGCTGTGTGGGGTGTCCCTGGCATTGCTGTGTGGGGTGTCCCTGGCATTGCTGTGTGGGGTGTCCCTGGCATTGCTGTGTGGGGTGTCCCTGGCATTGCTGTGTGGGGTGTCCCTGGCATTGCTGTGTGGGGTGTCCCTGGCATTGCTGTGTGGGGTGTCCCTGGCATTGCTGTGTGGGGTGTCCCTGGCATTGCTGTGGGGGGTGTCCCTGGCATTGCTGTGTGGGGTGTCCCTGGCATTGCTGTGTGGGGTGTCCCTGGCATTGTTGTGTGGGTTTCCCTGGCATTGTTGTGGGGGGGGGGGTGTCCCTGGCATTGTTGTGGGGGGTGTCACTGGCATTTTTGTTTTGGGTGTCCCAGGCATTTTTGTGGGGGGTGTCCCAGGCATTTTTGTGGGGGGTTTCCCTGGCAGTTGGTAAATAAGTTGCAGCAGTTGCTGCCCACAGATACTACTTACCAGCTAAGTGCTATTTCTTATTTTTTTAACGTTTTTTCTGTTGTTTTGTTCGCTGACGAAGGCTTTCTGCCGACACGTTGGCTGTTTTGTTACGTTTAATTTTTCAGGTTTAACCATACTCTGTTTTACTCATTTTATTTTGTACTAACCTGATTGCAGTCTCTCCCCTTATTACCCCTGGTAAATAACCTAATGGAATGTAGTCTCAACATTATAGACATTTATTCATTTTAAAATTATATCTACTTTAATGAATAGAACACAATACTATTAATGAAATTATTTTTTAAAAGTATTTAAGTTATGATCATTTGAATGCATATGATTGAGCTCTTCATAATTTCATGTCAGTTGGACAGAAATCAGGCTGAACTCCTGTGTACGATATAATGGTTAAGAAAGTTGAACGAAGCATTACTAAATACAGAATAGCAGTCTATCAACACAATGTTTTATGTGTGTTAATGTTTGCTTGTGCTGTTAGCTGAAGAAGGCATCTTGCCGAATCGGTTGTTGTTCTGGTGCGTACTTTTTTGCAAGTTTTCTCCTACCTTATTCTACATAGATCCTTATACATCAAATTACCGAAACATACCGTCAAGTAGAAATGTCTCTATATTTGCCTAAGTGTCGACACTGTTTCCTTTTGATGAATTACATTTTAAACTTCCTCGCTCGAGGAAGTCTGGCCACAAGAGGCAGCAGCAGTAGGAGCACCGAACTTGCCAGGTTCAAACATCCCATTAAGTTATAGAGTCCCAGAAACGAGCCTGTCACATCTTTCAACACACCAGACAGCACGTGATCCAGGGTCGCCATGACCCCGTTGACCATAAAGTAGCCAGAAAAGATGTGTCCGAGATGCTTGGGCCCCAATGTCTCCACAATGATGACCGGCATCATGACGTGCAAGATCCCGCCGCTGAGACCGATGAAGACCTGAAGTGTGACCATCAGACCGAGGCCGTGGTAAAATCTGATGAACTGGACAGCCAGGCCGGTCACCAGCTGGCCCAGACATGCCAGGTGCGCGGGTCTGGCGATGCGGAGGTCAGCCACGAAGCCGATGACGAACTTCGACAGCATGTCGCAGGCGCCGATGACCGTTACCAAGAATGGAATCTGTTCGGTGGCGACACCGTTCTCTCGACCCATGGCCGGCATGTAAGCCACGATGGTTGGTGTGTGAACGCCTATGCCGGCTGTAATGACCAGCAGAATTCCTACAGGGTGTGTGTAGATGGAGCGTGACACGGATTTCTTGAACCTCCTGAAGAAAAATCTCGGTCCAAAGTTATTTTCGGTAATAAAATTCTCTCCGTCTATTTCTGTTGGTGTTGTGTCTGTATTTAAAGCCTCACCTGTAGAGCTACCATCTAAAATAAGAGCTTCCCCAGTAATATTTTTGTAATGTTTTATATCATGAGTATGATCCAAAGTCAATTCATGAACAATATTTATTTTTCTGTTTTCCTGAAAACTGCAAATTTCTTTGTCGTGATCCTTAAAACTGCTGAAAGAAGAATTGTTTGAGCTGACTAAAGCTTCAACGGGGACAACATTCGGATTTCCATTTTCTGCTGACTTTTGTATACACGGCGATGTTTGGAATGATCCATTTACTGCATCGTCTTGTAATTGAATCTGACCTTTAAACCGAGCCTCGTTTCCAGCATTATAGAAACAAACCGAATCTTTTCCAGTCGATATTGTTTGACTTAAATCTTTCTGAATGTGTATTTCCTCACTGTTCATGGTAGACGTCAGCTCTGTAACTTCCTCGGTGTGTTTGATATCCTCGCTGACAAATGGCTTGTCACGCTTCCCTCCGACAGATGGCCTCGCTCCTACACTCGAACTTGCCGAATACATGGAAACGGGTCGCAGTAAAAGTGAAGCAGCCACACAGTTCATATTCACGGCACTTAATATCAACAGCGCGCCCTGTAGCCCGTACCCGTCTAACAGATACTGCGTCAACGGCGCGGCCCCCATGGTTGCCACGCTCAAACCCAGGTTGACGAAGGACGTGGCGAAGGCGAGCCACTTCTTAAAGTAGAACCCCACGAGCGTCATCTGCGGCACCAGGACCAAACTGTGAGACAGGCCGAAAAGGATCAGGATCAAATTGATGAAGATAATGTTCGGGGCGAAAGCCATCGCGAGGATGCAGAGGGCGTTGAGGGTTGTGCCAGCCACGGCCATCGTCCTTACCTCAAACCGGCGCATAAGAACCGTTGGTCCTAGGAAGCTGAAGACGGCAAAGGTTGCCGAGCTCAGCCCAAACGCCATCGTGGTCACCGTCGCCGACTCCTGGTATAAGTCCAGAAACTCCAAGATTATGAGACCAGTCGCGCGCACGAAGATCAGGAGTAAAGAGAGGTTGACGAATACCCCCAGCATGACGAGCCACGCCCATCCATGGTCGACTGGTAAAGGAGGCTTCTTGTAGCTAACCGCCTGCACCATACCATTTTTATATCTATCTTTGATACTCCTTGTGGAATCTTTAGTATGCATATTACACTAAACTATGAGCTACACAATTCAAGAAAAAAATTAATTGTTTTGTATATCTACCAAATTACGATGCGAATATAGATGACGGCAGATGAGTGCATGTTCGATCCATGACCGTGTATAGACAAGTATGGTACCACAAAAAATCCGAGTATTAGTGTGCTACAGTTCGACTTATCATGAGATGACTAAACACAATGGTATTAAGCCGAGTTTTGTTATCAACTAGTGGTGCTACTGATGATAAGTGTATGCTCATGGGTAGGGAGGAATCATTGAAAAGTCTTATCTAGACCAAACAATTGACCAATAATCTGACGCAACGGTCAGTAAAGGATGTTGGAATGCTCCTCCAAAACTGCACATTGGAAACACAGAGTATCAGAGATAAAGAGCTGTTGGCGTCGACAGGGAGGGCGAGAGAGAGAGGAGGGAGAAAGGGGGACATAGTGAGAGAGTAGGGGCAGGAAAGGGGAGAGGAATGGAGAGAAAGAGGGACATAGTGGCAGGAGAGGGATGGAGAGAAAGAGGGACACAGTGGCAGGAGAGGGATGGAGAGAAAGAGGGACATAGTGGCAGGAGAGGGATGGAGAGAAAGAGGGACATAGTGGCAGGAGAGGGGAGACGGGTGGAGAGAAAGAGGGACATAGTGGCAAGAGAGGGGAGACGGATGGAGAGAAAGAGGTGGAAAATGACAAAAAGAGAAGGGTCGGAGTAAGAGGGACATGGTAAGCGAGTAGGGGCAGGACAGGGGAGAGAGAAAGATGGAAATAGTGGGAGAGTAGGGGGAGAGAGATGGAGAGAAAGGGGGACATAGCGAGAGAGTAGGGGCAGGAAGGGGAGAGAGATGGAGAGAAAGAGGGACATAGCGAGAGAGTAGTGGCAGGAAGGAGGAGAGATGGTGAGAAAAGGGACATAGTGAGTGCCAACAACAAGAACTAAACAACAAACATGCCAACAACAAACATGCCAACAACAAGAACTAAACAACAAACATGCCAACAACAAACATGCCAACAACAAGAACTAAACAACAAACATGCCAACAACAAACATGCCAACAACAAGAACTAAACAGCAAACATGCCAACAACAAGAACTAAACAACAAACATGCCAACAACAAACATGCCAACAACAAGAACTAAACAACAAACTAAAAGTTCTGAACATTGCATATTTTATAACTAGAGCTGCCATCTTTCATTTATTTAAATAAAAAAAAAAATTAATTCTTTGTTGACTGGGCGATTAGACCGAAATATTTCCTTGGCAAAGTGATAGAGGCCCCCTATTATTTTTTAATGTCAAAGTGAACTCATCAGTTTAGGTTTAACTCTATATCTAAGCATTATTTATTTTAGTTTTCATTGTATACGTTTATTTCTACGTGGCCATTACATATCACATGAGGAAATGGCATCAGAGGACCGTCGAGCTAAGAAATGGCATCAGAGGACCGTCGAGCTAAGAAATGGCATCAGAGGACCGTCGAGCTAAGAAATGGCATCAGAGGACCGTCGAGCTAAGAAATGGCATCAGAGGACCGTCGAGCTAAGAAATGGCATCAGAGGACCGTCGAGCTAAGAAATGGCATCAGAGGACCGTCGAGCTAAGAAATGGCATCAGAGGACCGTCGAGCTAAAGCTCCTCATGCCGTTCCAAAGCACCTCCCCCAAGTCCGGGTATCGGGCCACGAAGCGGCACGTCGGAGATGTCCCTTTGCCAGGACAGCCCCCACCCAACTCCGCTCGATTGGGTTCCGCTGGAGGCCGCCTCAACCCAAGGACACCCGGTCGGTCCGACACTGTGCATACACACAGTACACACGATCGACTTTCCTAGGAGTCGGGATGGTAAATTTACGTCCAAATATCTTCCCCCACCCATAACGGGGAAGCGTCGGACGCCCTATAAGAGTGTTTCTACAATGGGTTTCCACCACGCAACTAGTTTGCGAAGTAGCTGGGACGAAACGGTTGCCTTGGAGCAGCGTTCTCGGGGCTGCATACTTAGAATCATCAGCCAGAGGCTTCCACCTTAGCCTCATAGCCATTAACTTAACTTGTAATCATGATCCCTACCCTGTCTCTGCCTTTACTTCCAACTGTGAAACGTCACAGTAGGCCACCTATCTGTTACACATGTGTTTTATGTCAAGCTTCGAAAGTAGAACCAATGAAGCTGTTAAGGGGAGAAAACTAAAATTCGTACTCCATGATGTATTTTCAATCCTTTGACTCCTTTAAGAGAAAAAACAAAACAAAAAAAAAACTTCTCTTACGAGTCCCACCCCCGTAACACGTCCATCAACAGAAATAAATCAAGGGTAGCAAAAAAAGGCCTCTCACTCGTGGTAACTCAGTACGCCACCAAAGACTGCACGGTTGACTGCCATCCTGTTTTATCATTTTTTTTTATTTTTTAGTTTGCTTGAGTCGTACAAGACTTCCCTGGTTGGCTACTAAATAACAGCAATCTGTTTGTTAGATTTAGTCCTCGAGGGGAAAAGGCGTAAAAAAAATCTTAAGACAGTACATCATGAACGTATGACAGTACATCATGAACGTATGACAGTACATCATGAATGTATGACAGTACATCATGAAGGCCTAATCCAGTGGTCGGAAAACCCATCATTAGTCAAACGAAGTGGCTATTCGGACCCGGGTCCGAGAAGTGAGAGGTTGGGATTAAAAATTGTTTAAAAATTATTATTGTTAGGTTGTAGGACAAAATGAAAGATAGGCTATTTGAATGGACTCTATGTTTGTAATCTTACTTCTTCAGTTTAACTAAAATAAACTACCACAAATGACATCCGAATAGCATCGAGTCTAATGGGACCCGGGTCCGAATAGCGGCGATGCGTTTCCGGTTCATTTTGAATCACCTTTCATTTGATACCAAATTTTGTCTCACAAACCCTACAATAGTTTTTTAATATTTTTTTTAACAAACCCGAACTCTCACTTCTCACCCGGGTCCGAATAGCCGCAGCTTTAGTCAAAAGAACCAAAAATCAGCAGCAGGATGCTTTAAAAAAAAAAATTCGAGAGCCAAATTTCCTTTCAAGAACCTGTCAAGAACCATGTATTTCTGAATCAAACTTGATTAGTGGCCGAGACGCACTCTTTTCAAAATATGGAAGTGGGTGGGTCTCAATTCAATAAAGCCTAGGAAACAGCATTTTAATTTTTATTTATTTATTTATTTAAAAATTTATTTATTTTTTTAAATTTCAAAATATATTGAATGGGGCATTAATGAGGAAATGTTGTGTGCATTTTTTGTGTGTTAATCTTGATTACAAGTGAGGATGGCGTCATTAACATAAATATGTTTGAAGTCAAGGTTTAACATGTCCGAATTACAAGGTAGGCTACTCAAGAAAAAAAAATGCTCAGAAATCTGAGACCTTGAATCGGTGTGGAGTCCCGTTATACATGTCCGGTGTCTATAGCTTGGATAACTACTACTGCGCCACTAGCTGGGTTGGGTTTGAAAAGATATAGACTGGAACGTGGCTCATAAGTGAATAGGCTAGAACGAATGAATTCCCTGCGGGTGGAAATAAGTACAGCATTCGGCATCCCTTCTGGCTTACGACATTCAACTTTACCCCTGTATCACTGTATTGTAGCTGTAATAATCTCAAAGTTCAACTGGCACGGATCAGCACCCGGGCATGGGCGATAAGTAAGGCCACTCAGCAGCGCGGTGTTCTCACTTCTTAGACAACGGGTACTCAAAGCCTGTTCCGTGGGACGATTTCAGAAATTATTTTTTATCTTAAGTAATTAATTTTTATAGCAGCCTGAAGTGTCTGATTCGCAGCGCTAAAGTAAAAAAAAATAAAAAAATATTTAATATGAACTTTGAGTATGCCCATGTACTATCCCTGTGTACTCTGTCGTCTCAGAATACAGTTCAACCGAAACAAATTTCATATTACTGCATCATTCGGTTAAAAACTGTACAGCGAATTTGCTTAAGTAATGGCAGATAATTCAACAATCATGAAAAATAGAGTTCGTACGAAGCAATTCATCATGGCAGCATCACCTGTTTACACGTTTCTGAGATCATGTGTAAAACATAGTTATCTGCTTTTGCAAACTGATGTAAGATGTCAGGATGTCAGGCTAATCAAATGTTTGAGGTGCTGGAGGATATTCTTCGTGCGAATGTGATGGCGTTTCTAAAAATTGTGAAATCAAACGAGGCTGGGGACTTTGTCAATGTCTTGCATAAATATTGACGAGCAAGATGTCTCTCTTTTTTTTTGGTGGACATTATTGGCTTTCTCATTAGCTTAGTAGTTGTCTGTAATGTAAGAAAAATACGGTCGAGGAGTTTCAACGGAAACGGAATTCCATTCAACGGAAACGGAATTCGTTTCAACAGAAAAGTAATTCCTTTCATGAGAATCTTGCACTTTTTTGAATCAAGTCCGCTGTAGCATTTTCATCTACTCCGCAATGATGTGACCAAAAGTGACATTATAAAGACGCGATTTCCAATGAACACAAGACGAACGGAAGGAACGCACTTAAAGTAGATACGAAACTAACCATCAATGGTAAAGAGTTGCAATGGGATCAGACTCCAGTGTATTTTGGAGTGAAGTTGGATCAGAAACTCCAACTTCACAACCACATACACGAACTATGCGCGAAGGCATCACAGAAATTGGGCTTGGTGAAAAAGCTGGCTTGCACCGATTGGGGCGCTGACGCAAGACTGCTAAGGTCCCTTTACCTTAGCAACCTAAGAGGGGCAATGGACTACAGCTTACCTGTCCAGGCATTTGCGAGCCGCACGGCTCTAGAGGGATTGGATCGCATCCAAAAACGAGCTCTCAGGTTTTTATGCGGGACGATA